ACACACACACACACACACCTGCCGCATGCCTCACCTGTAACTTATCACTTTTCGCCGTCACTTTCTCGGGGCTCCTGGCCAGAGCGATGACCTCATGACCCCGGTCCAGAGCCTCGCTTATCACCAGCTGACCGGTTGGCCCAGTGGCACCCAACACCAGTAGCTTCATCTTCCAATTACAAGTTCCACACACAAGTGTTGATGTTCCACACACTCACACACAAGTCTTAGTGTTGATGTACGCTCGCTGGGTATCCTCTTAATGAAGTAGAATCCCTAGCAGCCGGATAATAACGTTTACCGTGTTATAAACGTGTTCTTATCAAAAGAGTTTCTTCTGTACGTATAGATTTATAATATTTTCTTTTCACGACTTTTTATAGAACTTTTTGTTGTTTGTTTGAATAGGTGTTTTACGGCACTATCGACTCAGATTTTGGTCATTTTAAAACTTAAATGATATTAATATAATAACAACAACTATGTATGTTTCTCAGGGAGTTGTAATTGTTTTTCAGATCGGTGTCAGTGATCAAGTCTATTACCGAATTACCAGAAGACAATAGTAACAGAATTCGTATTAAGTGGGTTTCTCTATCTGCTCAACCCCCAGGCAAGCACAGGAAGGTTGCTAGTGGTAACGAGAACTGGGCGATCACGTGACGTAAACAAACAGAGCACGTGATGTCAACAAAGAGATCACGTGAAGTAAACAAAGAGATCACGTGATGTAAACGTTCCAGTGGTGCATCAGTCAGTGACACACACAGAGGCAAAGGTCGGTTTGTCAAAGGTCGGTTGGTCAAAGGTCGGCTCTCCTCGTCTTATGTGGCTTGTGGCTGGGGAGAGGACCAGAACAGATGCATCATCATCTTGCCGTGTCTGGAGTTTTACGGTGAGTTCAGACTGTTTCCGTTACATTGAGAGTTTGATTGTTTGTTTGTTGGTTTGTTTGTTTGTTTGTTTGTTTGTTTGTTTGTTTGAGTAAAGAGAAGCACATCGACACAATAATGGTCATTTAGAGGAGGGGGAAAAAGGTAAGACAGACAAACAGAAACAGCAGAGGGGAAAGTAAAGAAGTAGGACCAACCAGTGACACTCTCCAACCATACACCCAGACAGAAACAGCAAAGGGGAAAATGAAGAAGTAGTACCTACCAGTGGCACCCTCCAACCACCCACTCACACGAAAGTGTAGGTTACTCATGCCAAAGATCTTAGGCCCACGCGCT